GTATAGGCCTGTGATACTTTTTTGATATAAAGTCTGTGGGGTAATTCTTTGCTGTGCTTGGTTTATCTATTCCCAATTGGATTGTTTTGAGTTTTCCCACTTTTCTAAATAAAGCTGTGATGAATATTTTTGAATATTCAAGAGCCAGGGTTTTTTGAACTCATACTCTGTTCTAGGACTTTGTTAGGCACAGGGACACGGAGATGAATAGAAGCTACCTTTGTCTTCTGGCAACTCAGTCTAGTGCAAATATACTTTTCCCTTTGGGGTCATTACTTTTGAGGAATACCAGTCAAAATGGTAACAGAAGGTCTAAGAGAATGATCAGATTTTACGTCCATATTATAATTTCCCCAATTATTTCCTGGAGATTGAATAACCAATTTCTATCATTAGCCTTAAATTTCAGGCCCAATACATGTTGGGACTTCTTATTTTTATTCATATTTGGTACTTTAGTAGACAAGTAATAGTACTCTGCAGCCCTTTTAGTCGTGTTTCTTTAATTAATAAGGTTGTACATTTCCTATGTTATTTAACGTCTTTAATTCGTCATGTGAGAGTTGTCAATTTATGCATCGAGCATGTGAAATTGGGCATTTACTATATGTATTTATGCCCATTATTCATATATTTGTATTGCAAGCTTCCCCTGCCCCAGGGTATTCTTTTTTTTATGATTGATTTACTTATTTTCAACTGCTTTATTGAGATATAATTTACATACCCGTACAATTCATCCACTTAAAGTGTACAGTTCAATGGTTTTTAGTGTATTCACAGGTGTGTGTATGCACACTTGCGTGTGTACTTGCATGTGGTATTTCCTCTTATTCTTGCAGCAGTATTTAGAGTTTAAGAGCTTGGGTTCCCAAGTCAAATCATCTAGGTTCAAACACAGCTCTCTCAAGACTTACAGGCCTTAGGTATTCTCACATTTTGTAGGTCCACTCTATATTATATCAACCACAATATATGAAATGTACCCACATCTCACAATGAATATTTTATAATACTCTATAAGAGTCAGCAAATTGACATCAAGGTACATTTTTGGGTATTTACTCTAACATCTATTAATTACAATTTTGAAATTAGAAGTTTTCTTCTCATGTAGAGGGTCTCATACCTTTTTGATACATTTTTATAGGCTCTAGATTTGTGTGGTCCAATATGGCCACGACTATTCACAGATGACTATTAATATTTGAAATGTGGTTAGTGTGACTGAGGGACTGAATATTTAATTAATTTAAAGATTGATACTCAGTTCAGTTATGGGAAAACTTTTAAGTACGTTTGGAACAACTTGGGCATGAAATTTTACTTTTCAACTGTAAATTTTGTGAAATCTAAGTATTTCTGATGAAAACACAGAGTCCAAATTGATATGCATTTTAAGTATAAAATACACATTGTATTCAAAGACTTGATATGAAAAAAAGTGCAAAATATTTCATCAATAATTTTTTATATTGTGTTGAAATGATAGTATTTTGGATCTATTGGGTTAAATAAAACACATTGTTAAAATTAATTTCCCCTTTTCAGGTGGCTATTAGAAAACTTAAATTTACATATATGGCTTGCATTATATTTCATTTGGACAAACTGCACTAGAAATTGTGTACAGGGCCTGTTGAAGAAAGTAGCTGCATGCTGAGTGATGTTGCGCAGTTTAAAACCTGCTTCCCAACTGTGTGACTTTAAGCAAGTTAAAATCTCTCAAAGCAAGATTCAGTCTCCTTATCTATAAGATAGGAATAATAGTTATACCTATCTCACAAGTTTGTTGTGAGGGTTTAGTGAGATATGTATGAAAATAAGATTACTCTCTGATATATAATTAGTGCTCATAAATGTTATTAACTATTATTATTGTTGTTATTACTGCTAATATTACTGTCAGTTTGTCAAGTTTTTTTT